CCTGTATGATGGCTGTGGGAAGAAACAAAAGCCCCCTGCAGGTCCCTGCCTGTGGTGGAGACCTTTCATTTTCCTTCTGCTGTGGTTTCCTGCGCAGCCTCTTGTTGAGTTTTGCCTTTCTCCGTAGCCCTTTCCTCGATGGCCCTTTGAACGGAGGGGAACTATGAAAATATTTCTAGGGGCTTGCAGAGCTTGGAGGAGAGTCTGACCTTTGGCCCACTGCTGGCTGCGGAGGCCACCGCTGCCCCGCTTGGGGCGTCTCGGAGCACTGCAGAGGCAAGGGTGTGGTCCTGCCTCAGCCAGAGACAGTGTCACCAAACCCTTGTCAGTCAGAGACCCCCACAATAGGGTCCTTCTGCCCAATGTTGCTCACAGCAGGAGAAACAGACCGTATTCAGTAAAGCAGAGCAGAAACTTCATTCTTCGATTGAGGCACAGAGAAGGGCAAGCTTATGCTCTAAAGACAACTTCTCTCGGACTTGAAGATATTAGGAGAGTCTTAAAGGGTTGGTGGCGGGTAGGTGGGTTCAGGGGTGAGGATTTCTGAGAAAAGTTGTGGAGAGAGCTAGGAATTGCAGGGGAGTAGATAGAGCTTCTAAACAGGCTGGGAACATGCCTGGCCATACGTCACGTCTCATTCCTGTTAAGTCTCCACGCTGGGCATGATTTTTAGCATGCTAATGGAGGGGAGCTTGTCAAAAGGCCGCTCAGGAAGGGGTTGCCAGTGCCATCTTGGATCCTTCCGGTGCAGACCAGTTTCTTAGCTGTGGTCTTGGGCTTTTTATCTGGTTCTTTCCTGCAGGCTTAGTTCCTCCTGGAATTTCCACCCTTCCCTGACTTGTTCCGTCAGCTCTTATTAGGGGATATGTTGGAGAATAAGAGAAAACAAGAAAGGCCAGCTCAGATCCTGATGGTACAGCAGCCCACAGCCTCAGCTAGGAGTCCCAGCCCCAACCTCCTCACCATCACAGCCACTACCATCTGCCCAGCAGCAGCAGCAGTGGCTGTACCACCACCACCGTTATTATTTCTACAGCCATAACCACAACCGCCATCACCACTACCTTCACCAGCAGCCTCACTAGTACCTGCAGCATGGAGCCTAGCTGCCCCAACGCCCAGCCGAATCAGCTGAAACATGAGCAGAAACACGCCCTGTAGCAGCACCAGGAAACACCAAAGAAGAATACAAGCTGTGGTAAACCAAATGGAAATGCTGGAGAAAGAGAAATATCTTTAAAGAAGCTGGGTTCTGATGAAGCTACCAACCCTATTGCCAGGGTCCTCAGTGGTGACCAGCAAGTTGTAGACACTAATCTGAATCAGACGGTAAAAACCAGCACCTTTTGGAAAGCAGGAATTAAAACCAGGAATTTTATTCAGAAAAGCAGTATAGACAAAAAGAATGGAAAGACTTATGAAAGTAAATCTGAAGAGAACCCCTCTGTAGATAAGAGTGATCTTGTAGTAATTCCAAATGGTGTTGTAACAAATAATTCTGGCTGTATGACTAATGGTTATATGGGCAAAGGAACAGATAATGGTGGCAGTGGATCTGAGAGTGGATATACCATTCCTAACAAAAGGAAAGCTAGGCACAATAGTGCCAAGGATTGTGAAAAACTTAATTTACTAGAGGCCCAGTGCACAAAATTCTGCATGGGTAGGGTCCCTAGGCCTGGCTGGTGATCAGGGCCAATAGGGGCCTTCCAGCTGCCATCCGGGGCCTTCCTTCATTCTGCGCCACCCCCTGCTGGTCAGCGCACGTCATAGCGAGCGATTGAACTCCCAGTTAAACCCTTGAGGGGACACTTTGCATATTAGGCTTTTATATATATAGACTAGAGACCTGGTGCACAAAAATCTGTGCACTTGGGGGGTCCCTCAGCCCGGCCTGTGCCCTCTCGCAGTCTGGGACCACTCGGGGGATGTCCACCTGCTGGCTTAGGCCCGCTTTCTGGGGGATCGGGCCTAAACTGGCAGTCAGACATCCCTCTGGCAGCCCTGGAGCCCTCGGAGGATGTCCACTTGCTAGCAGGGAGCAGGCCTAAGCTGCAGTCGGACATCCTTAGCGCTGCTGAGGAGGCGGGAGAGACTCCCACCACCACCGCTGTGCTGGCAGCCATCAGCCTGGCTTGTGGCTGAGCAGAGCTCCCCCTGTGGGAGTGCACTGACCACCAGGGGGCAGCTCCTGCATTGAGCGTCTGCCCCCTGGTGGTCAGTGTGTGTCATAGTGACCAGTCATTCCCAGTCATTCTGCTGTTAGGGTCAATTTGCATATTACCCTTTTATTATATAGGATTAGTATAGGACAAAATAATGCAACAAGAGACCAGTGTCTCAACCTTAAAATAGGGACTTGAAACTCTCAATCCTGACTACGGTGAGCAGAGGGAAATCGAGTAGATGGTTTGAAGCCCATCTTAAAATATGAAACTGGGCCTGGAGGAACAAGTCGAGGAAAACCTGCTGTGGATGATATGTTGCAGAAAGACTGATATTAAACCTGGTGTGAGCAGAAAAAGTTTGGTGATTGGCTCAGAGGAAAGCGTGCTTCTGCTGTTGCCTCCAAAGAGGCCTCTTGGGCCCTATGTAAACCTCCCCCAGTTTTTCCGGTGAACAACAGCAGTGCTAAAATAGTGCCTAAAATAAGTTATGCAAGTAACATTAAGGAAAACCTCAACAAAACTGTACAGAACTCTTCTGTGTCACCACCTTCATCTTCATCCTCTTCGTCATCTACTAGGAAAACTCAGACCCTGTCTTTAAGTTGGTTATCCCAGGTCCCTGTGTCAGCGCTGAAATCTGTTACTTCGGCCAGTTTTTCAAATAGCTCTGTTTTAGCAGGGACTGATGAGGCGTGTATTCTCCAGGGCTTCAGCCACGGCTAACTACTGTTGCTAATATGCTAACACCCATCTCTCCGGGGACTGATTCGGTTTCTCAAGACACGAGTCTAATTTCAGCAGCTGTTGAACAAATTAAGTCTAGCCTTTTTACTTCCCCTTCAAATATGCAAACTGTGCTGTTGAGCACAGCACACGTGGGCCTACCCTCTCAGACAGACCAGCGTAACCTGAGGGATAGCTTCCAGAATCAGTGGGGTTTATCACTTATACATGAGCCCAGTGCTGGCCCTGAGACTGTTACTGGGAAGTCATCAGATCATAAGGGATAGAGGTGAGATTTCAAGGGGAATGTCCTCCACTTTGGTTTCATGGGGTGCTGCAATAATCCCCTCAGGAACTGAGCATCCTGAGTTTTTCCAAGGCTTCCGAGCTGGAAAAGTGGACTAGTCCTCAAGTCTGGGTAGCATTCTAAAATCTGGGACCACTAGTGAGTGTGGAGCCTAATCCTTGGAACCCAGTCATATAGATGAGTATGGGAAACAGAGTTTATTCTTGTATTATCATTTATTGAAATATTTTCCATACCAACAACTATAAACCTACTTTTGCCTCACCCTGTATGTATGCATGTGTATGTGCATGTGTATGTGTATGTATATGCACACTGCTGCTTTTCTCCCATTTCCTGCTCTACTCCAGAAAAGTAGGAAGTCTATGGACTACCATAGACTCTGATTGGGCTGGTTTAGGTCATGTGCTAACCCCTAAACCAATCAGTTTGTTCAGGGAGCTGCAGGGTTCTGATTGGCAGGCTGAGCCTCACAATAAGCCTGGGAGTGGAGGGTGGGGTCATGTGTGGGAGGGAAGAGGTGTGGGCGAGTGGGCCCCTAGCATAGTCTCCATCCCACTGCACCCATTTAGCACTTAGCATGAAGAGAAATGGGGTGCTCTCACTACCCACCAACACTGCTTCGGGGCTGCGTGGAGGGTGACTGCCTTACCTTCCCTTCTGACTCACTGTGGGTTTACAGAGTTGGGGGTCTGCTGCATGAGTTTGGGTTGGGACCTTGCCTGGCAAGAGCCTTCCTTGATGCCATGGACTGTGTTGATGAAAAAGACGGGGCCTTGCATTTTTCCACTGTCTTACTTATGAAATCTCTATGTTGGAGGTGAATGTTTTAAGAAGTCTCAAGGATATGATGATTTAGGCTTTGGATGCTTACAGTCTTTGAGAATCCATGCCCTACATGGACACAAGGACAGTCATTTTACCACAGCAGTGTGATAATGAATCTTTGTCAATACCTGTCTACAAAGTTAAAAACATTATTTTCTAAAAACAACCTCACCATGCAATAAGTATTTGATTGTCTGCTATCCTCTAGGCACTGGCTGTGCGTGTATACAGTACTTGCAGAATTATTCCACTCCACATTTTCTGAGTTTTGGGCCTCCTTCATCTCTGATGGCCTTCTTTTCTCTGTGCCACAGGGAACTGTTGGAGACCACGTGCCGCCTGGCCAACACATTGAAGAGGCATGGAGTTCGTCGAGGGGACCGTGTGGCCATCTACATGCCTGTGTCCCCACAGGTTGTGGCTGCAATGCTTGCCTGTGCCAGGATTGGGGCTGTCCACAATGTCGTCTTTGCTGGCTTCAGTGCACAGTCCTTGGCTGGGAGGATCAATGATGGTAAGCATGTGACAGGCGGAGGGAGCTAAGGAGGAGCCCAGAGCCCCCTGGTCCTTGTTCCTTGGACTTAGAGACAGACATTAATAAAAGTCACACAGTTGACAGACACTACCACTCAATGAGCATTTGTTCTATGAGCTGAGATTCAAGTGTGATGGATTTAACCAGGTGAGGAAGGGAGGGAAGATTCTAGGTGGAGGGAACAGCATAGGTACCAGCTGAGTGGTGAGAGGAGTACGGTGTGCCCGAGGACCTGGAGTAGGCTGGTGCCACTCCAGAGGAGAACTGATGAGGCTGGGGATGTACAGGTGAGGTCTCAGAGGTCAATAGTTGGAAGTCTTCCAATGTGAAGTATGATGAGGGACCATCTCTGGAGGCCTAGAGTCAGGTATGGAAGCTTGTGATCTATCTTTAAGGCTTTAGTCTGCAGGTGGGTCAGAATTTCCAGAACAATAGCATCTCCTTCCTTTTTTTTAATGTCAGAGTCCAGTGTTTGCATGGTGCCCCATGTCCATGCAGTCTGAACCCTGCTCCAGTGAGATTCTAGAGAGAGTCCTTGAGCTGGCTCCCCAAGGACGGTGCCAAGTTCTGGGGGCCATTGGAGTTCTTACATTTTCAGAACCATTTTAGGATCAACATTTTCATTTCTGCCTTCTCTACGTCACCCAGACTTCACTGCACATGCGCCCATCTTCCCCTTTGTTGGACCCCTTCCCCCCGTAATCTGCAGGGAATGGACTGGTGAGCATGTGGACTGGGGAGTGTAAAGTTGCAGCTCCCTAGTGAAGATGACCATGCTTACAATGTCTGGCCTCCATGTTGCTTTCTTTCTATTTTAATTTTAGCTAGCTAATTACGACAATAACACCCTGACACCTTGATTTTGGCCTTGAGACTCTTAGGACAGAACCCTGTGGAGCTCACCTGGACTGTAGAACTGTGAGCTAAAAAATTAGTGTTTGTGCCACAAAATTTATAGTAATTGGCTATGGGAACCATAGAACATTAATACAGATGCTGATACCTGCTCAAAACCCAGGAAGGTAAATTGAATCCTCTCAAAGCGTCAGGCTGATCCTGCCTGAGCCCCAGTGCTGTGCACTCACCCTGTACCTGCTGCCCAGCTATGGGGAACCACAAGGCGATATGTGCTCCCCACGCACCTCCTAGGGACCAAACCTGTGCACACAGGCTCCTGCCCTGGACAACTAACTACCCAAGTAGAGGCTTTGGACAAATGAGGTCCAGGAGTGAGGCATGGGCCGTGGAAGGCTGGGGAGGAGCTAAAACCACATTACAGGATTGTTTAGCATGTTGGATGGGGCAGGCCCCTGTTTTCTCTTGAGGGGAATGAGGGAGCGCTTATTTGAGAAGGAGCTATTTGAACCTTCTGGGTCATCTCCCTTCTTTTCCTGAAGGGAGCTCACCTGGACCAGTCCCAGTTTTGGGGGATGTAGGCCTGGAGAGTCTCTGACAGGTTCTATCCAACAGAATTTGTTTATACAAGGTGATTGATTGTGAAGGTCCGAGGAGGAGCGATGAGTCAGGATCTCTGATCCCCGGATAGACCCTGCTGAGTCATCCAGCTGCAAAGGCCTGTGTAGAGAATTCTCAGGTAGCCCTCACGGCTATGTCATTTCTAGGGCTCTTGGGAGGAAGAAAGAATGTGGATATATTGCTTGAAATTGCTTTTCAGACTGAAAAGCTGAGGGAGATTGGTGCCTTAGTCAGGGCTCCCCTGGAAGCAGACCCTGAGATGAGAGTTCAAGTTCATTTAGGAAGTGGTCCCGTGAAGTGCTACAGGGCAGTGGGAGTGAGGCTTGGAAGAGGAATCAAATACGAGCAACTTTCACAGTGGATGCCCAGAGCTCAGTCCCACAGGGAAACCTTGTAATTTGATGCAACCACATGTGTCAGGATAACCCCTCTACCCAGGGACGAGGGAGTTGGGTATTTATATTCCGGTTTTTGAGAGTCACTTGTTGAGGGCTGCTGGAGTCGGGGTTCTGCCTGTGGCTCCCAAAGAAGCCCTTGGTGCAGAGTGACTAAAAGGTTAAAGTGATGTGCCTATAGGGGCCCCACCAGCCTATACTGGATGGTTGTTCCAGGTTCTTCCTTGGGGAAGTAAAAACCCACTGTAACTTGATTCCTCCAGGTCCTCCAAGTTAAGGGTGCAGTGTGAGGTTCATTTCTTTGTGGTCCTGAGGCCTGGTTGTGTTTGTACATGATTACCTGCTCTGCCCCCTCTCCCCCTCCAGGTTAACAATGGAAGCTCTGGTTAGTCTGGCATTGCCGCTGACCTGGCTGGGTCATTGAAGGGCACTAGTAAGCCTGGAGGGCCTTCCCTGAAGGTGAGGGCAGGGGCCAGCAACTCCTGGCATTCACCTGGGGTGTGGTCTCTGAGATAGTGCACAGGACATATTGGGGCTCGCTCTCTGGCTGCCCAGCTTTCTTAGTCTCTGCTCCTAGTGGCTGTGGCTGGGGGTGATGTGACGGCCTCTCGTCTAGGAAAGCTGCCGGGCAGGTAGAAGGACGGGTGGAAGGCTGGGAGAGTTCAGCTTCAAAGTTACTTGTCTCCACTGACTTCCTGCTCCTCCTCAGAGCTGGGAAAAGGCCCGGAGCATCTATATTCTGCACAAAGATTGCAGAGAAGGCACACCCTTCACTGTGTTGCTGACTCATTTACTCAATATTGGACTTTATCACCCTCCTGTGCCTGGAATGTGTGTCTGCCGGTCTGGGCTGTGAGGGTCAAAAGTGGAGAGGAAACTGATCAGAAATGTCTGTTGTCTCTGTCAGCAAAGTGCAAGGTGGTTATCACTGTCAACCAAGGACTGAGGGGAGGACGCGTGTTGGAGCTGAAGAAGATAGTGGATGAAGCCGTGAAGCACTGCCCAACAGTCCAGCATGTCCTGGTGGCTCACAGGACGGAAAACAAGGTCCCCATGGGGAAGCTGGATGTCCCCCTGGAGGAGGTGGGTCCGCCTCGCTTCGTACAGTTCGATGAGGAGAGGTTGTTGTTGGGTTATCTGGGTCTGAGTCTGGTCAGATTGTAGTTTTGAATCTGGGTCCCCCTGAGATGTTCCGGGCGGTATTTGATGGGCTTACATCTGGTTGGGAAGATGGAACTCCAACACTACAAACAGTGAAACAGTTGATGTAACAGAAATGATTGGATTCATCCTTTTATTTTGCGTCTTCTCTGTATCTGGGATGGAGCTAGGTTAGGGAAGATGAGCTCGGATCCCGTCCGCGGAGTCTCACAGCAGCGGGGAGAGGTGTTCCCAGGGGCGCTGGATGGCGGGAGAGGCTAACTGCCCTGGGCGGGGCTGTTTTGTCTCCCCCTTACAGGCCATGGCCAAGGAGGACACTGTGTGTGCCCCAGAGAGTATGGGCAGCGAGGACATGCTCTTCCTGCTGTACACGTCCGGGAGCACCGGGAAGCCCAAGGGGCTGGTGCACACCCAGGCGGGCTACCTGCTGTTTGCCGCCCTGACGCACAAGGTACGGCCTTGGTGGTGGGCAGAACATGGGTGGTGCTCACCTCCCTGGTGGGATAGGGCAGGAGGCCAGGTGGGGCTGGGTGTAAAGCCGTGCCCGGGGGTGTGAGGGGCTCACGTGTTCCCGCAGTGAGCGTGCTTGTGAGCAGGGCTGCTGCGAGTTGCGGCACTGGCCCAGTGGAGTGGGTTGGAAGGGGGGCCATGCTCTTGTTTTTGCTGAAAGAGTCCAGGCCCCAAACCTGGACTCACTGCTGGTGTTTAGCCCTTTGGACCTGTGCCTGTGTCGCCCATTGGCCTGAACACCTGCAGGAATCGGGCCCTCGCCAGCTCTGACGTGCTCGCTGGTGGGGCCACATTCTGATGCTCAGGCCCAAGACACTTTGGCCTGCCTGGGCCCCTTCCTCTATTAAATAAATGTCCAGTATATAATATATACTATTATATTTTAAAACTTCTTTTAAACTTAAAAGATCATATTTTTCTCCTGATTTTAAGGGAAAATAAAACATTTCCATGAGCCCCTAAAACTATCGTGACCTCTAGACCCTGCCCATTGGGACCATATTTTAAAAGTAAAAAATTCACTTTGGTAAAGAAACTTAAATTGAGGACAGTATGTGGAAATTATAATATTACAGTAAGCCATCTTGAGGGATTATAAAGCAAACTCTATGACAGGTTTTGTTATTCCAATCAATCAGTGTAGAAATCAGTACTCATGTTAGTGTTGGTGGAGGATTGCAGTTTGACATGGCATCCTTGGTTGCCTTGGGAAGCGGCTGACATTTCCAGGTGGAATTAGGTTTCGATATACCATCTGTGGACCAGACTTTCTCTGTCGCAGAACCAAAACTCAGCTCCATCAGGTGCCAGCAGCAAAGGGAAGTGTCTGGCCAGGCCACTAGAAAGCCCAGGCCCATCCAGTCAGGGCTTGGACACTGTCCTGGGTCGTGGTATCTTCCCTGCCTCAGCCCTCTTCTAGGTCCATGAAGTTCCCAAACAGGCTATCAACTTGGCTTCCCCAGGGGCCAGAGGGAGCCTCCACGATCCCAGTCATTGTGGTCAGGGTGGGGGTGGGGATGGGGGTGAAATATGCTGATTGGCCAGGCTGGGTCATGTGGGAGGTGAACTTACTGAATGAGAGTGGATGAGGAGCAGGTGCTGGGCTGCATGCACACGGCCTCCGCGTGGCAATGTCCAGGTCCCACTGGTGGCCACTCACACCAACCGTAAGGATATGAAAGTGAGGCGGAAAGACAGATGTGGGACAGAACCAGGCTGAGCATATAGTGTGTTACACTTAATACAAACACTTATTAAAATAGTGGCCTCTGGCTGCTGGGTGACCTTGAGCATGTCACAGAACCTTTCTAGACCTTCATGTGCTCATCTGAAAAACCCCGCCCTTTCTCAGTTCTTGGTAAGAACTGAGGGAAGTTATATCATGTAAGCAAAAATACTTTGGAAAATATAAATAAACACTGAGACAGAATACCAAGAAAGTCACAGAATGAATCAAATTGTTTCCATCAATTTATAAAAAAAAATTAATATTAGGGAAGCTAAAGTGAGAGATTCATTATTTTATTTTATTTTATTTTTTTGCATTTTTAAGGTGTTTTGCATTTCCAGGAAACTACCTACATGAACAAAAGAAGTGTGGGGATATAGGGACAAGCACCATCTTCTGAATTTTTTTTTCAATACAATGAGATTTTGGGGGAAGTATTAGTAATAGAACCTTTGAGCCGTCTGTAGATAAGAGTGTGTGTGTGTGTGTGTGTGTGTGTGCATGTGTCTATGTATGTGTGCACCTGTGTTTGTGTGCACATGCAGAGGATATTAGGGCAGTTGGTTTCTTCAGGGAAAAGGACATTTGACTCTGAAGGGATGATGAGAATGTGAACTGATTTGGGGAGTGTAAAGTCTTAGAAGCTGATGATGCTTGAGGCATTTCTGGCCTTTTATACTTTAACTAGTAGCTCTGCACACGAGTCCGTGCGCCAGTAGCTCACTGCTGCTCTCCAGTAGCTCTCTGCCCACTGCCCCGCCCTCCTGTAGCTCCCCCCACCCTCCTTCTCCCGCCTCCCCTCATAGCTTGCTGCCCTGCCCCCTCCTGTAGCTCACTGTCCCGTCCTCCTGATGATCCGTAATCCGGTCGTTATGTGGTCGGTCATTATGCTTCAAGGCGTAATGACCATTTGCATATTATATCTTTATTATATAGGATTTTTTTTGCAGTTTTTAAGGGTTTCAAAAATTGTGGCATAACTTGCCCTGGCCAGGTAGCTCAGTTGGTTATACTGTCATCCCGATACACCAAGGTTGTGGGTTCAATCCCAAGGTTATGGGTTCGATTTCCAGTCAAGGCATATACAAGAATCCATCAATAAATGCATAAATAAGTGGAACAAGTCAATGTTTCTCTCCCCCCCTTCCTCTCTCTCCCTAAAATAAACGAATTAAAAAAAAACTACATGTATAAAAAATAATTTTTTAAATTGTGGTATAACAATGCAGAAAGATGCCTTTATACATACCACTCGATAAAGTGTTCCCTGTGAGTACACACAAGCACGGGGCATCTTCAGCCCCTGCAAGGCCCTGCCTCGCCCCTCACATGCAGTCCCCCGGCAAGACCAGCGCTAGTGTGACCTCTGCAGGCAGATTGGCTTTGTCAAGCTGGGGCTTGCACCATGTGCACTCTGAGGGCTGGCCTCTTTCACTGTCCTCTGCCAGAGTCAGCGTGTTGTTGCTTGTACCAGTAACTCTGTCTTTTCACGTACCCCTCTGCTCTCTGTGGCCAATGGAGCGGCTACATTGTAGTTATAGAACACGTGGGTCACGGGCTCTGACAGCCTCTCCTGTTTCTGCAGCATGTGTTTGACTACCGGCCGGGAGACATCTTCGGCTGCATGGCCGACATTGGCTGGATCACTGGGCACAGCTACGTGTTATATGGGCCCCTCTGCAATGGAGCGACCAGTGTCCTTTTTGAGAGCACTCCAGTTTACCCTGATCCTGGTGAGGACTGGGAACCCAAATCGGGTCCCTGGGAGGGAGCGCCCTGGGAGACACAGGCGGCGGCCTGTTCGCCGTATTCCAGGGGAAGCACCAGCCACCACTTTAGAGACCATTTAAGTGCAACTGAACACGAGTTCTACATGAAGGCTACATGGCTGATTTTTAAATTCACAGAAACATATTTTTAACTGATTCCTCACTATATCGTATGGGGTACACTATGGGGGTGGAGCTGTCCAGAGCCAGGTGGGGGCTTTTTACAAATGGGCCAGCCTGCGGGTGGGGGGGGGGGG